TCCAGGGAGTTGTGTATCTCATATCTGATGACCCCTCTGACCTCCTTGGGCATCCACATGTAGGTAGGTGTATGCCACATAAATAAAAAAAATAATAGTTTAAAGAATTTTAAAATCATGTATATATCAGTTTGATTAAAAATAAAACACTTTAGGAAGATTTCCTTCACAGAATACTCTTCTGTGCAGAACATACACATTTCAACCATTTTTAATTCCCCAGGATTCTGAGAACTTTATCATTCAAGGATGTAGTCAGCAGAATGCTGGAATGCCCTGGGAGGTGATGATTTCGGATAGCTATCATGGTTAATCTTATTCTTAGTTGTAAGTATTCATATTGTTGTAGTTTTAACAAATGAATTTTAAGCACATTGCAGATTAAAATACATTTTATTTTAACATCTCAGAAATATTTAAGTCTTTAGTTTTCTTGTGTGTTGTCAACACGTCCTCATTGTGAATTAATTTTTTCCAGCTTCTCTGCATCCTTTCATTGAGTGATGCTTCAGATAGCTGGACCTTTTTCCACCCCTTCAGTTCTTTAAAATACTGTGCTTACTACCGTCTCTTAAGAGTATGCAAAAGCTGTTCCAGTAATAGCAAGGAACACCACCTGGCCTTTCACTGCAAGGTTTTCAGGTGCAGTGATAATCGAGTCATAGCCAATGATGACCCACACACATCTTAGCCATATATTTTTTTAAGCTCAAATGCTGAACTTGAACTGGAAATTGAAGTAAACTACATTCATTTTTTAATTGTCTCCCACCCCCCAGTTAAAAGGCATGTGGTACCAGGTGGTGGAGGTGCACACCTTTGCCCTTGGGAGGCAGAGGCAGAGGCAGGTGGTTCTCTGTGAGTTCGAGGCCAGCCTGGTCTACAGAGCAAGTTCCAGGACAGCCAGGACTACACAGAGAAACCCTGTCTCAAAACTTCTCCCCAGTCCCCATGGGGAGGCGGTCATGTGGTTTGTTTCTTCAAAATGTCTATGAAATTGTGAAAATGTATCTGAAGTAGAATTAGTTATGAACATTTAACAGATTCTTTGTTTCCTGTGTAAAAAAAAATGATACTTGTCTCAAAAATATAACTATGATAAATCCTCCTTAAAAATAAAGCCAACTGGAAACCTTGAGTTGTTAAGGCAGCTATCTTTTGGTTGCTATTGTTTACTTTGTCTTTTTAATTTTTTTTGTTTTATTATTATTAATTTTTATTTTTTAATATTAATCACAGGTTATCACTTTGCCTTTTTTGAGGTAGTCAAAATGTAACTGACAGCTGTCAAGTTTATTTTGTCATTTAACCTTTTCTTTGATCCTTTAAGCAAGAGATTTTTTTAAATATAAATTGTCAGTGTGTTTTTCATAGGAATACAACAGTACATCTGTGCTATGTTTAATCTTATACTCACAATTAAGGACAAAAGTTACCATCACTGGAATTGTGGTAATTATTGAATTGCTGTTTTTGTGTGTGGCTTAGAGAATGGAATTGAATTAAAAGGAAAGATAACTATCTTTGTAATTTCATGCTGTTCCCCCCTCCCCACCCAATTTAGAACAAACATATTTGCCTTTGTGACCTCAAGTTAATTGCCGGGCTCTAGAACCACTGGGGAGATGGCCTGTGGACATGCGTGTGGGACAGTTTCTTGATTTTGTTCACTGACGGGAAAACGCGCCCTCTGTGGCAACACTGCTCTCTGACTGTCACTAGCAGCTGTGTGTCCTGGATTTTATAAATGGAGAAGGGAAGCCGAATAGTGTGAATGCATTCATTGCTGCCAGCTTTCAGTTGTGAATGTGATGTGGTCAGCTTCTTTAAGTACCTGTCATCTTACTTCCCCACCATAATGAATGCTGAATTTTGAGCCAATATAGACCCTTTTCCCTTAAGTTGATTTTGTCAGAGTATTTTACCACAAGGACAGGGGCAAAACAAAAACAAACAAACAAACAAACAAACAACCCAAAAACCTAAGACATGTGATGTTTGAATGAGACTGTCTTGCATAGGCTCAGATATTTGAGGGCTTGGTCTGCAGCTGGTGCCACTCTGTGGGTAGGTTTAGGAAGTGTGGCCTTGCTGGAGGAAGCGTGTCACTGGAAGTGGGCTTTGAGAGTTTAAAGCCTCATCCCATTTCGAGTTTGCTTTCTCTGCTTCCTGCTTGCAGTTTGAGATGTGAGCTCTCATCTGTTCCTGTCACCTGAAGTCAGAATTCTCTGCCATGATGGATGGACTCTTATCTCTGGAACCTTAAGCCTAAATAAACCCTTCCTTCTGTAAGTTGCCCTGATCATAGTGTTTTATCACAGCAATACAAGAGTAAGACTAGCCAACTCCAATTTGTGTTTTTTTTGTTTTTGTTTTGTTTTGTTTTTTTCAAGACAGGGTTTCTCTGTGTAGTCCTGGCTAGTGTGGAACTCAGAGATCCACCTGCCTCTGCCTCCCAAGTGTTGGGATTAAAGGTTTACACTACCACTACCCAGCTTCCAATTTATTTTTAATTACTAATTTTTGTTTGATTTTTTTTTATTTCATTAAAAAAATTATTTTGAGCTAATATTACTTTGAGCTACATAGGATCAAGTTGGCCTTGAACTCAAGTTCCTTCCCAAGTGCCCTCTAGGAGTACAGATGTCCAGCTGAAGATAGGTAGTACATTTCTGGGCGTGGAGAGTTGGTTTAGTGCTGCTGCTCATCCAGAGGATCCAAGTTCTGTTCCCAGTTCCTTGTTGGGCAGCTCACACCACTTACAATTCTCTCCATGGGCTCCAGTATTGTCTTTTGACCTCTGCAGGCTCCTGCACATATGTAGCATGTATACCAACATAGACACGCATACAGACACACATTAGGAGGGTGATGTGAGTATCATGGAATGTCTGTGGAGGCTGGAGAAAAACTTGTTGCTTTCTCTTTCCATTGTGTGGATGCTGGGGACTGAATTTAGGCTGTTGTCAAACTTGGTGGCAAGTAAGGACCTGTACCCACTGAGCCATCTTCCTGGCTCTCTTCTCCCTCTTCCTTCCCATCCTCTCTTGACAGGATCTTTCTTTGTAGCCCTGGCTGGCCTGGAACTCTTTTGTGTGTAGAGCAGGTTGTCTCACAGAGATCTGCCTACTGCTGCCTCCCCAATGCTGGGACTACAGATAGGTTCCACCATGCCTGGCAATTCTCTTTTAAATACTTTTCCAGTTATTGTATACCTTTCGTTTTAGTGAGTAGGGATAAGATACTATTGTTGTCCTGTTTACAATCTCTGTTAATATCCTAAAAGAAAATACCTATAGCATTGGGGGTAGAAGTGTTTGTTTTATTGTTGAACTTGAGATCTCTCAGCCTCCCAGTTGGCTCAGTTTCACTTGTTGGCCATTGTGCTTACCAGCTTGTTCCCAAAGTCTGTTACATCTTTGTATGTCTCTGTAGAGTGCAAGAATTTAGGCATTGATTTGAATGATTTATTACTGCACACTCCACCTTCATTTCTTCTGTCATGCTTTTCTTGTTCATTCGTTCACTGTCTATATAGTTGATAACAAACTCTGGTTCTGGATGCTGAAGAGAAAAGGTCGTGGGCCTCGTTCTAGAGTGGTCATCAGGCCTGGTGAACTTCAGTCTAGGCAAGGAATCTGCGTGTAGATAGCAATGACAGTGTAGCAGGGTAATTGTGAAAATAAATATCCCCAAAATGACCAACAGAGGTAGACTGTGAAGGAGTTCCAATTCCTGGGTCAGGAAGGTGAAGTGGGACCTTGAGGGGGGAAACAGTGGAGGGACGGACAGATCTTTGACAGGACAGCTGTATTGCATCAGAGCACTTCATTCATTGGTCAGTGTTGGGGGCTGTTCTACTACCTGAAGGGAGCCTCTGATGCAGGGCTTCTCAACCTGTGGGTTGGAACCCCTTTTGGGGGTATTGAACAAACCTTTCACTGGGGTTGCTAAGACCATAGGCAAACACAGATGTTTACATTACAATTAATAACAGTAGCAAAATTACAGTTATGAAGTAGCAATGGAAGTAATTTTATGATGGGGGGGTCACCACAACCTTAGGAACTGTGTTAAAGGGTTGCAGCATTAGGAAGGTTGAGAACTGCTGGTCTAGGCTGAAAAAGGGTATTAAAAGTGAGTGGCACAGAAAGGTAGGGAGGCAGTGCAGCACTGTGTGTTGCTATTTGTTGTCCAGAGAATCCGTCAGTGAAGGAATGGAGGATTTAATGAATGGGAGGCTTGCAGGTGAATGTCTATCCTGACATCTCCTGTCAGTACAGGGCTTCCATAACAGTTCGGTCAGAATCAGTTCTTCCTCTTTGCTTCCCTTTTTTGTTCCTTTAAAATGGGAGGTTCTGATTAACTTTCCATTTCCTGTTGTTCTTAGAAGGTGGGGGGGGGAGTAGAAACAGTGATGAAATAAATTGCGAGCACAGGATTAATAAAGGTAAGTAGATTTCTGTCATGTGGCAGCTTCACGTATTATGGTGAATGGATGGATTCCTGATGGCTAAGTGTTAGGTATGAGCATCAGCATCTGATGGGACACTGCTCCTTGAATTCCAGAGTTAATATAGACTAGTACTTGATAATGTATCTGGTTCTGAGGTGGGATGTTTGCCTTTAATATATGCTTAACAGTTTTTTTTCCCAAGAAAGCAGGAATGCTCTTGAGGGCACATTGCTACTCTTTGCCATCCACAGTCCAAGCTTCTGGAGAATTAGTAAGTGCTTGTTACTGTCACTGAACACTAGGATAAAGTGAGATGTGGTCCTACGTAGTGTAAACTCTGTCCTGTGTTTTAGAATCCCACATGAAAATCAGTAAACTTACATGCAGATTACTTTTTTTGCTATTAATTGGTTAAACGTTGTTTAGTTAGTATGGTAAATGTGCTGGCATTTAAGCGAACCATATGAAGAGGCTAAATAAAAACTTTAAAATTGTAAATTATGGTTTCAGATACTAATATTTTACATTTTACTTTTTCTCTAAGCAAATGGTTATGAGCCTTAGAGTTTCTGAACTTCAAGTACTGTTGGGCTACGCTGGGAGGAACAAGCACGGACGCAAACACGAACTTCTTACAAAAGCCCTGCATTTGCTAAAGGCTGGCTGTAGTCCTGCTGTGCAGATGAAAATTAAAGAACTCTACAGGCGGCGGTTCCCTCAGAAAATTATGACGCCTGCGGACTTGTCTATCCCCAACGTACATTCAAGTCCTATGCCAGCGACTCTGTCTCCATCCACCATTCCACAGCTCACTTACGATGGTCACCCCGCATCATCCCCACTACTCCCTGTTTCTCTTCTGGGACCTAAACATGAACTGGAACTCCCACACCTTACATCAGCGCTGCACCCAGTCCATCCGGATATAAAGCTTCAAAAGCTACCATTCTATGACCTGCTGGACGAACTCATCAAACCCACCAGTCTAGGTAAGAGCGATGCGAGCAAGGCCCCTTGGTAACTGCTGTGCTTAGCAGCTTCCTTCTAAAATTTCAGTTTGGCCAGTTTTATTCTTAAATTTTGTTTAGTAGTAGCGTCGGGATGTTAATGAGAATCTTTTGAATATAGATTAAATCAAATATATAAGAGCTATTCTTTAGACGAAAGTGAAAAGGTGTTGTGGTGACTGATGGCTTAGACACAGTAAATACTAAGTTTGAACTTAACTCTGGTTGCTCTCCTGTGTCTTGTTGTATAGACTAGGCTGTCCTTGAACTCAAAAACATCCTCCTGCCTCTGCCTCATGAACCATTGGATTTAAAGGTATGTTCCACTAGGCCTGGCTTCTAATTAATGTACAGTATCACTTATGGATAAAAATCGAAAACAAATCATCACCAGTCTCTAAATTCTGTTTTTAAAACAGACTGCCCGGTTTGGATTACTTGAATGTGGAAATGGTTTTAATTATCATGAAAGGAAATTTGAGCTTTGATGTTGTGGTCAACTTTCAGCTGCTGTTTTTCAATTGGGGACATGTCCTTTAGGCATGTGGAATATACAGATTCCTATTCATATGTAATATGAGTGCTAGGAGTTTGTTGTTACTAGTTTCCCATCCTGAGATTTCCTTATGAAGGTATTGAGTTCAACATATTTATTAATCAGTTTTAATAGCTATGATGTCACTTTGCTTTATTGATGTGAAACACAACTGACTTTGTTTGATTTTTGGTGCCTTTGGTGTAATATACTTTAACAGCAGACTTTTCCAGATGCTGGCCTGTTAGAAAACAATGCTTGGCAAATTGTGGTTGGCAAGCTAATTCTGGTGGTTTGTTTTTGTGTAATATTTATGTAAGAACTTGGTTGCTGTTTGAGGCCGGGTCTCACTCTGTGATCCTGGCTGGCCTGTTCTTCACAGCAGTCCCTCCTGCTTTTGCTTCCTGGGTGCTAAGATTACATGTGGGAGCCACTGCCCCCAGCTCAAGGGTTATTTTTTTAAACATTCCTAAAATGTAAACAAAGCTAGTGAATATATAAATAATATCATGTGTGCTCCCAGAGCCCAAAGTATTTCTTGTCTGCCTCTTATAGAAGTGTTTGTTGATTCCTGTCATTAATATTAAACATTTCAGTTTGAGGAATTTGTGAGTATTAAGAACAAATTTTGAGTGGGATGTTTTTTTGGGGTTGGGTCCTAATGTACCTCAGATTAGCTTGGCATTATACATGAAGAAGTATGATCTGAATTCTTGATCCTCCTGTCTCCTCAGAGCTGGCATTACAGGCATTTACTACCAGTGTTTTGGAGAAGTTTTGTTTTGTTTTGTTTTTGTTTTAAATTAGATTTTTATTTCTTTGGGAATTTCGTATATGGATACATTTTATGTAGATCATATCCACCCTCTTCTTGGATCCTTCACAGTATGCTTCCTCCTAACTTCAGGTTTTTGTTGTTGTTGTTGGTTGGTTTGTTTACAATCCACTGAATCTAATCATTGTGCATGGGTGTGAGGCCATATGTTGGGCTTCAGACCAGCCAGAGAAGCTTAAGGGGGCCTTGAAGCTAAGGGATCAGGGTGAACCTGCCCTTCAGGTTCTCCCAGCATCTCTACCTGCTACCCTCTACTCTGAGCTCTCCAGCCAGGACTGGGCCTTCTCTTTTCCCAGAGGCTCCTCAGTATATATATATATATATATATACATATATGTGTGTGTGTGTGTTGTATATTATATATATAATATAGACTTTGGCTCACCCCCCCTTCTTTCTTCCTTTCTCCTGTGTCTGCCTGTCTCTGCTTTTTCTCTCTCCTCTCTCTATGCATGCACTTTTCTGTTTCCCTCTGCATGGTGACTTCTCTGACCCTGTTCTTTGGGATCAGTGAACCCTCTGAGAACTGCTCCCAATAAACCTACATTTATATACTTTAAGTTGTCTTGAATTAGCTTATTTCACTGGCAGAAAGAATAATAACATATCACCATGATTTTGAGAGCATTACTGAAATTGTATTGTTGAATGAGGAAGTATTTACTTTTAATTACTTTTGGCAGAATTTCCTAGAATAAATGAAGCTACAGGAAGATATTTTCAAACAACATGAGTTTTATTATTGTATTTTTATAGTGTGTGTGCTTCTCTGTGCACGTGTGACAGCATGTGTAGGTGGTCACCTGCCGAGCCATCCTGCCAGCCTGACAAACAACATAAAGTTTATGACACACCATTTTATTCTTTAAAAAAATGGTTTTTAGATTCAGTTGGTAGTGGTGCATGGGAGGCAGAGGCAGGCATTTCTCTGAGTTTGAGGCTAGCCTGGAGTACAGAGCTAGTTCCAGGACAGCCAGGGCTGCCATGTAAAACCATTTATATATTTAGATTTATTTATTTTCTTGTATGTTTGAATGTTCTGCCTGCACATGGGTGCCTTGTATCTGGGGATTAGAAGAAGCCATTAGAGTCCCTGGAACTGGAGTTACTGGTTGTGAGGCACCATGTGGGTGCTAGGAATTGAGCCCAGGTTCTCTGTAGTGGCAGTAACCACTCTTAACTGCTGTGCCGTCTCTCTAGTCTCATTTTATTATTTTTTTAAATTTTTATTTAATTTTATTTCATAGGCATTAGTGTGAGAGTGTCATCTCCTGGAACTGGAGTTATAGACAGTTGTGAGTTGCCATGTGGGTGCTGGGAATTGAACCTGGGTTCTCTGGAAGAGCAGCCAGTGCTTCTAACTACTGAGCCATCTCTCCGGCATATCCCTCTCTCATTTTATTCTTAAAATGACCAAAACAAGAAAAAAAAGATAACACTTGTTGGGAATCTACCTATGCATATAAAGCTTGTACATGTTCATTGTAAAAAAAAAGAAGAAGAAAGGAAAAAAGTTTGTATGTATACAGATTGCACATGGTATTTGTTTTTCATAGATGAATCTTGTACATAGGATCATGTGACTTGCCTTTATATCTTCCTTAATAAGATAAGCATCTGATCTTCCCTGACTCTGTTTTTAATCCTTATCTGTGTTTATACAAAGTTTATATACATTCATGTAGCTACATATCATCTGAAGAACAATCATTACATCATCTGGGATTTAAAAGAAAAATGTTGATAGCTTGGATTTAATTGAGTCCAGCTTTTAAACTTTTTTTCTTAACCTTAATAATTAACCTCTCATGCTGTTACTAACATAAATTTCAGGTGTTGGTGTGATAGTTAACTGTGTTATCAATTCTGGTTTTGGAGAGTAGAAATGCAAACTGCACGAGTACATAAGATGATGTTTAGAAAGTTAAATTCATTGTGCTGAGTTGCTTAAATATATTTTTCATTCTGATGTCTGCATTCATTGTTTCAGTTTCATGCCTATACGAGTATTGTAGCTTGACTTAATTCACCATAGTTTATTTATCCTTCCGTCTTAGTGTTTTAATCCCATCACGGAGGAGGCAGAGGCATGTGGATCTCTGTGAGTTTGAGGCCAGCCTGGTGTACATACCTGAGTTTCAGGACAGCCAGGGTTACAAAGAGAAAACTCTGTCTTGAAAAACATTACTAATTTTTATTAAGAGTCTGTGCCTGTGTGTGCATGTGAGTGCAGGTGCCTAAAGAGGCCAGAGGTGTTAGATTGCTTGGAGCTCAGCTTACACCTGATCTGGTTGCTGGGGAATGCATTCCCTTCTTGTGGAAGAGCAGGGTATATTCTTGACCACTAGCCATCTTTCTAGCATACCATTTCTATCCTTCCCCTGTTTTTTGTTTTTTGTTTTTTAAAGACCAGCGTCTTGTTATGTAATCTATGGCAGCAAACTGATTGGAACCTGTGGCCTGTCTTTGTGTTATCCTTAGCTAAGAATTTTGTTGTTTAAGTCTGGATCTCACCTGCGGCCCAGTCTGACTTGGAACTCATTGTGTAGCCTAAGCTTGGTTTGAGCTTACAGCAACCCTTCTGTTTCTACTCTCTGGCTCCTGATTACCTGTGAGCCACCACACCCAGCTCAGAATTTGTTTCTTTTTTTAATTTATTTTATTTATTATTTATACAGTATTCTGCCCACATGTATGCCTGCATGCCAGAAGAGGGCACCAGATCTCATTGTGGATGGTTGTAAGCCACCATGTAGTTGCCGGGAATTGAACTCAGGATCTTTGGAAGAACAGCCAGTGCTCTCCTTAGTCCTCAGAATTTGTTTTGATATTCCAGAAAAGCTAAACTTAAACCAGTTACTGTACCAGGAGCTGGCTAGGTAGTAAGGGGCTTCTCACCACGCCTGTCAGATTTTGATCCTCGGGAGCCACATGGACAAGGAGAAAATTGACTCCCGGAAGTTGTTCTTTGACTTTCACATGTGTGTGCCACCCCCATCCTATAAGTAAATAAATGTTTTGTTTTTTTTTTTAAATCAGCAATGAATATGTAACAGAGCATGTGTGTGTTTGGCTCTTTCAGGAGAAAGTTTGTCGATTTTTGTTGTAAATCACTGGGTGTTTCAGTTTTGTTGATTGGTGAAACTTGAGAACACATTTTGAGAATTTGTGGAGTTTTTATTTATTTATTTAATTTTTAAAGACAAGGTCTCAAGTAGCCTGGGACTTGGTACTCCCCATGTATTGTCAGACTGGCCTCAAACTTGGGGCCGTCCTCATGCCTCAGTCTCTCAAGTTTTGTAACTACCTGCATGCACCACTACAGCCTGAAGGTTACTTAAGGACTTTTTTTTAACGCCCCCCCACCTTTTTTTATTTTTTGTTTTTGAAACAAGTTCTGTGTACTCTAGTTAGCCTGAAACCAGGATGGCTTCCACCTGCTTCTTCCTTCTAAATGCTGGGATGAAAGATGTGAACCACCACACCAGCTTTAGAGCATTTTAAATTTATTCTTTGACAGTTTCATACATATAAGCAATATATCTTACCATGTTCATTTCTTCCTCCCATCACCACTACCCTACATGTACCAGTGATGGATAAGCATATTTG